ATCAGTTTCATATCCGATCTTCTCGCATGACCCAGCCGTAGTATCTGCTCCGTTCAGTTAGCACTCGCAAACGAGAGAGAGAGAGAGAGAGAGAGAGAGAGAGAGAGAGAAGCAATCTAATTAGCTATACGTATCTCCCCCCCCCAAATTAAGTAGCATCTGCTTCGATCAGTTTCATATCCGATCTGCTCCAATGATCAAGCGTAGTATCTGCTCGGTTCAGTTTCATATCTTATCCGTGGTTCATCGATACAAACCACCTCCGTGCTTGAGTGAACGAGAGTGAGCGAGAGAGAGTGAGAGAGAGAGAGGGGGGGGTTCATCGAGATGGTTTAAACGCTCATGAGCAGGGGGTGTGTGTGTGTGAGAGAGAGAGAGAGAGAGTGAGAGAGAGCAAGAGAGAGAGAGAGAGAGAGAGAGAGAGAGATGCCGTGCTTCATTGAGATGGTTGAAAATGGGGGAAAAAAAAAACATGCGCGCAGGAAATGCAGGAGAGACTAAAGAGAAAGCGAGAGGGAAAGAGAGAGAGACCCCAGTCTGACTAACTGTGCTCCAGTCTCCCCCCCCCCCCCACACACACAACGATCGAGTGTACTATCTGATCCATGGTCCAAAAAAAAAGAGTGCGTGCAAGACGCGCGCAAGAGAGAGAGAGAGAGAGAAACTCGACCATCCCCTCACGATCAGGCGTACTATCTGTTCAGGTCAGTTTCATATCTGATCCGTTGTTGATCAAAAGATTAAAAAAAGAAGGGAAAAGGAAACGGAAAATCCGTTTGCATACTGACCTGTTCAATGGAGAAATAAAAAAAAAAAAAGGGAAGCATGAGCGATTTCGGAAATAAAAGAAACCGGAAACACAAGCCTTAAAAGCTGGAAGTTCAGTCCTCTTTGGTCATGTTGGCAGCTCGATTGTAAGTCGTTCGAAGGTTGCCATGTTGGCATTGACTAAGCCTTAGAAGCTGGAAGTTCAGTCCTCTTTGGTCATGATTATTCTTGGATGGGTCAGCGCATTCGTTGCCTGCCATCTGCACCTGATTTCCAGTCGGATGAAGTTCTTGGTTAATGCCCAGACTCTCTTATGGACTAGTCTGAAGGCACATCTGTCTTTGCTGATTGCCCACAATAAAGCCTTATTGAACCCAGGTGACTCCGGTGTTTCTACTCAGTGAGTTAGCCCATCGTTGATCTGAGGGGTGATTATGAATGGCTCTCAATCTTTTCTTTTTTTTCTTTTATTTGAACCTGAATCGCACTAAGATAGAGTTGTTTAACCACCCGTACCTCAGGGGGTCTTCGGCCCCCTCTGGGGAGGCTCTGAGGCAATGCGTATGGACCTGCAGGGCACACTGATTATGCCACTGCGTTAACGGCCTAAGTACTTAGCGGTTATAAATTGTGCTGTTGGTTTAAATCTGTCAACCACTACCCCCGCCGTCATGGATAGTTGGAAAGTTGAATTGCCCCTGTGGTTTATTTTGCGGTTATAATGTTTTTGTTTTTTTATAGATGTTTTTCCTAAAAAGATCAGAACAAAATCTATGGACCTTCAAATTCTCAATAGTTGTGGAGTCATTTTTCAGAGCGCAAAAAAATTGTGAAGTTGGGCTACTTTTCCCATTGACCCACACATGGTAGAGTGGCAAAAATGGAAAATGGGATGAAACTGCACGGCATTTATTTCACGGTCTAATGTTTTTTCGGTTCGTTTTTAATATTTTTCCTGGAAAGATCACAAGTTTCACAACCTAATTTATGGGATGAGGATCTCACATTTTCAGATTTTTTTGTCAATTGTTCTGAGCGCGAGAATAGCTAAAGTTCTTGCTTTAAAAATTAAAATCCTTGGACCGGACCTTTCTGCACCTGTCAGTCGCCAGCGCCCTTAAGAACCCGGTCTGGAAGGCCAAGAGGTCAAATTTAGGCAGGATACATCCTGGACCAGTTGACTCTGGCAATAGACTAGATGTGAAGCGTCAACTCTGTTGAGTTGAGTGACTTCCAAGATGCAGTATGCGGGACCCTTGTTTCTTAGGGCAGGTTGTCCCTACTTTTTCGATTGTAGTTTCTCTCTGTAGAACACTCCCAATTCAGATCTCAGTTTCACTGCTTGCGAACCCGAACCAGAGATTGCTGCTCAAAAGCCAACTGTGAAGTGGGAAGTTGTGCAGTCGTGGGTCTTTTAACTATTTCCCTCTGTAGGTGATTGTTATGGATGTAGGAGGCTCCTGGTTGCACACACACACCGTAGATCAAATGGGTGCCACCCACCCAGCCCATTGAACTCCTTCCTGCATGAATGCATGTACAAAAAATATGAAACAAGAAGAAGAGAATGGAATTTGCCGAATGTAGAGAGGTGAGCCCCACAGGGGACCAAGGAAAACTCTGCACCACAGGGAGAGAGAGAGAGAGAGAGAGAGAGAGAGAGAGAGAGAGAGAGAGAGAGAGAGAGAGAGAATT